TAATATATAAGTTATTTAATTGGTATGATATTTTAAACAATGTAAGTTTAATTTCATATGTGCCAGTCCACCATATCTCCATAACTAATGCATGTCTATAGGTCCTGTGTAATGTAATGAATGATAAGAGTGTACCTCTTCCTCTTTAAAACTCAGTTCATATGGTGTCATTTGATTTATAGAGCACATATGTGGACAAAGGACCAGCCAAGTAGGTCAAGAAGTATTGTTATTGAGATTTTAGGTTTGAGTGCTGCTTATCTGCCGTGAGTGTCCAAGGACAGAGGGATATTGTATGCTGTAAAGCCCACTGAGGCAAATTGTGATATGTGATTTGGGCCTTCTAGATAAAATTGAAATTGAAGTGAAATCATTATTGGCACAGCCTTTTGATGATTGCTTTGTGACTGGGCTACTGACTTGACCTGAATATTCTCTAACCACCTTGGGTTGCCTTTGGCTATGAAATGTGCTGTATAAATAAATTTGCCTTCCCTTGCCTTAAAGTAAAAGCCCTTATTACTGTATACAGAATTGCCCCTCTCACAGTGTTATACTATAATGCATATCATATAGTTGAACATGTATCATAAGTTCCATTTCAGCAATATGATATATTTATTGAAACTGGTAGCCATGGAGCCAGTTTTGATTAATTTATACAGTATTATGTTGTTGCAATCTATAACAATGCATCACATTTTATCTTAGAAGAAAAAGTAACTTAATTGTAACTGTCAAATAATGAAACAAAAAATATTTCCCTCTTAAATATAGTGGAAAAAACTGTAAAATACCTTATAAGTAATGTACAAATACCTCAAAGCTGTATTTAAGTATAGTACTTAGATTAGAGTAGAATCAATTTGACTACTTGAGTAAATGTACCTGGTTACTTTCCACCACGATCAGATATTTTTTCTAAATAACACTAATGTACACATGTTAATTTTACCCAGGAAACCCACACAAAGTACAGCAACATGACGTCAAATGCAATATCGTAACACAGGCTGATGAAACTGTTTCCTGCCTATCTTTGCCTCAAAATGACTCCATTACACTGGGAGCAATGTTGGCTTTAACAAGAGCTTGTTTTAGTAATTCCTACAGATTTCAAGTCAGTGCTCCTTAAAAACTTGACACTGACAAGCATGAGTATGCTCACAACCCAGACAAACTTTCATGTGTTACATAAGTGTGTCAAGAGTGTGAACCAGGGAGCAGGAGCCCAAATTTAACAGGAAAGTGTCTTCTTAGAACAGATGCAGTGGGTTGACACATGAGCTAGGGAGCCTGTAATGTACCATACAGTGTTAATTTGGGATATATATAATGTGAGTTACATACCTCACTGCCTCGAGGTAAATCACCTCCTGTAAAGTGTCTTGTTCTCAGTGTGGAGGACATTCATGTCTATTTGTGTGTATTCGTCCATGTGCAACGTGAAGCCTTCCAGCCGTCACGGGTCAGGGGTCGGGGGTCGGGGGTCAGGGTTTCTCTCAGTCAGTATTACTGTGTAAGGGAGAAGGGTGTGAAGGGTGACTCGTGATCATCTTATGGTTGTCGTGACATCACAGGGTTCCCTTGGTCCAAGAACAGACAGACTCATTTGTCAAGAGTCGAAAGTCAAACCCGATCACAGCCCAGCTCTATGTAGGTCATCCCAGTGAAGTTGTGACATGTTATTGAAAGGTAAGGTTTCTGTTTGGGATATCCTTGTGCACTAGCACGTCCTCATCACAGTGGCGCTCTAAAGGAGGGGCCAAGGGAGTCACAGCCACCCTGAAACAATTGCTGGCCCCCAAATAATTAGAGGCTGACATCACTGTCCTTTGCCCTTTTCACAATAGGGCTGCTTTGAAGACCATTCAATATGCTGTCTCTGCTTTTTTACAAAGAACCAAAGGACAGCAGCATCACATCGCCTCAATGTGTGATTTTAGATAGCATGCTTGGCGTTCCAAAAGCAAAAGAAGTGTGACAGGTGTGAACTGTAACACAATGTCAGCCTCTAGTGTGACATATAACATACGCGTCAGCAGCACTTTCTAAACAATAACAAAAGCATAACAGAATCAGAATCATGGTAATAATAATTATTTACGTCCCTGTTATTTGGTGGCCGATCTTGTCCTCTGCTCAGGGGGTAAGAAACTCCCAGACCTCACTGTCTCACCAACTGGCAGACAGATTCAGCTGCCGTTCTGCAGCTGCTTTTCAAATCTCCCTGTGGTGGATTGCACACATGAAACGTCAGCAAAACGTCACACTTGTCCTGTCCTTTGTCCTGTCCTGTCGGCTGTCCCTTTTACACTTTTCAGCACTGTTATTACCTCCATTGCTGCCTTATGACAATTCTGTCCTCCCATTTTGCGATTTAGCTTTTATAAAAATGAATGGCGAGGCAGAATAATGGCATAAACATTCCTGCTTTGAACAGGCAGTGAAAAATGGGCTTTTTAAGGCTGTGATGCACTCATTTTTTAGGTGAGGGCGAAGACGGTTGTATCTTAAGGAACTACAAGCTAAGACAACCTAACTCATCCACTGGCATTGACTATGTCAGCATAGCTTGTCGGGAATCAGGGTATATAACACTCCAAAGTTAGGTTAAATATTGGCGAGGGAACAAGTGGTGTGACTGTCTTCAAAGGGGTCCCTTTAACTCTCACCTCGAGGCATCTGAATAAAAATGGGTTCAGTGGGTAACCGTGAGTCTCCCTCATTCCCAGTAAATGACAACCAAATTATTAGAAGAGCAATGAATCACCTAACATAAGGAACACATTAAAACAGAATTGAACTCAAAATATTAACTGTACTGGTATTATTCTATGCACACAAGAAAATTAGTAATATTAACTGTAAAATAAGAAACCAAAGTAGGTGATTCTTTAACTCTCCATATTGACATAGTTTTCAACTGGCCTATCAACTTCAACAGCATAATAGAATTTGTGAACTTCCATTATGGCTTTTGGTGCCACCCAAAGATTTTCAGTGACTCCATTATCTCCATCTCATTTGCAGGGGGCGCCACTGCCTCATCATGAAGAAGCCATTCAGGCAAAATGAGTTCAGCAGGTTGCTTATGCATGTGTTTATGAGGAGAAATGAAACAGCAGCATACATTACGGCACCATGCGCATAATTCTGGGATGTATTCGATCAGCCCATGTAGTTTAGAATAGCTGTATGCTCTTTAGATATATGTGGAGGAGCAAATTATATTATTTGATTACAGGCACGAATGACTGTACATCAGTGGTTCCCTTTTTTTCTGCAGTGCCTCCATAAAGCATAAAATGACTGCACACTTACTAAGTGTTTAATACAAAGGGAACACAATGGATCAAGTAGAATTGTTCCTTTTAATGCATTTTTTTGTTGTGTGCTGCCAGAGTTATTACACGCAAGATTCAACCACCATATTGACCATTATGTCAAAGCTGTAATTGCCACTTAAACCTGCAGCAACTGCTTTTGTTGGCCTCTTGGGTGCAGCAGAAAAAAAAATGGAAACACAACACAGACATAAAACAGCCTCTCACAAACTCGTTAGCAAACACCTACCCACACCCCCATAGTGGATATGAGGCTCTAAACTTTGTCTCAGTAACATACAGCAGTCTAGAATGGACAAGTCATTTCAAGTATCAAGTTTTTCCAGTGCATACCCAAATGTGTGAAAACATAAAACAAAACAGATTTTTGGAGGAACAGTTTATTCATTCGTATTTACAAGGCAGAACCGATCATGGAGATCTAAAGAACTTCAGAATAAATGATGGATCCTCCTTCCCATTTGAATCTAAGCAAACATTTTACAGCAGACAAATGGCAGGCAAATAATTTGTAATAATATAAATATTGTGCTTTTATCGTCAAAATGAACATTTCAGTTTTTGGAAAGGTCATATCAGCCGTTTCTATGCAAACCTTGCTTACAATATTGGGTGCGACTTGATAAACCGAACCTATAAACTACAATAACTACAGATGAAAAGGCTACACTTTACATTCTTTTACTTCTACTACTTTACTTCTGGATTTCTTTAAATCATTTGGTTCAAAAATAGGCACTCAGTACAGCAAACAAACCTCAAAGTTGAACCCTGTCTTTAACATTCCTGCACCAGAAAGGCAAAAGAACAGAAGTGGGATGGCACTTTAGGAACAGACATTACATGAGTCCTAGTTTCTGTTCCAAAGAAGCATAAACATGTTCATGCTTTACGAAGAGCTACATGACTGCGTGACCTCAGTAATGCTACTTAACAACAACACAGAATACACTTTAGAGGGACTTTTCTCCTCTTAAAAATAATCCAGTTGTGCAAAGAAAAAAAAAAGGCAGGCAGGTGATACAATTATGAATTACTTTACAAAAATAAAAGTTCTTCCTCCTCTGCCCTCCTGCTACTGTGAGTTGAAGAGATGGAAGACACAAGAAAATCAACTTAACCCAAGAATCGTCCAATCCATAATGCAATTAGGGTGTCTGACAAAAGTTTAAACTTCTGTTAAATGGGAGTGTGCTGACATTGTCCCAAATATTCAATAGATAAAGCCACACTAAGAAAAAAAAAAAACATGAGGGGATGTCATGCCGCTGAAATGGAAATCACAAACTCCACATAAGCTACATAAACTTTATGCTTCTGAAATTTCCTTTCATAGGACGCTGTATACTTCATCAAGTTAGTCGCAGAACATGTTTTCACAATCTGAGCAAATGTTCCCATATGAAACAAATCAGTAAGAATTATAGATATGCACAGTTAATCAAATTAAAGTACAATTATTCGTACAAAGTTTGTGTATTAATTATGGCCACTTTGATACAAATGTCATAAAAAAATAATTGCACGTTTTGTATATGGTGGGCTAGCATTATATTTATCTTATACATGACATACAGAATGGAATATGCAGACTACATAGTCTAAAATATTGATAAAAAGCATATTTGTTTAAAGGTATACTATGCAGGAATTCCCTTAAAAAAGCAATGTATGGACTCAGACAGAAGTAATCCCTCCTAGTCATCACTTATGACCCATCAGAAGTGTTGGGAGGTGTATTTTTCTGCAGAGACTCTGCCTGCATTTTCTTATTTCTGTGTTCGGGACATTTGTGGGTGTGTAGCCATCAGGTACCAGACCATAAGCATCAGTCGTTAAAGAGACACAGTGCCAAAAAACACAAATATGACGAGACGAAACACTGACTAGAGTCAATCTGGGTTGGCTTTTACTTTAACTTTCGACTTCCCGCATAGTATAGCCTACCTTTAAATGTTCTATGACATCTAAGTGGCCATAAAATACATAAAATTACATAAAATAAACATTATATTTTCAGCATATATATATGTATATATATGTATATATATATATATATATATATATACATATATAAATACATATATATATAATTCTTAAAGATTTTCTCATATGGGTGTTCCAGGCCACAAAATGCAAATGTTCATGTTCTGTATTTTCAACACACAAGATGACTGAGGCACATCATAAACACAAGGTACAGTACAGATGTTAGTACATTTTGACATTTCCGAAATGTCAGTACAGCAAAAGAGAGAGAGCTCAAGAAGGCATAGGATACAGCAGGTATGAGGCAAATAATAATAATAATTATAAAGATGAAGGAATTTGATGCATTGTAATTTACATCTAACACACATTATATTCACACGAGCCAGCGTGAATATTAATGTGTGCATGGTCAGGTGGTCACACACTGACCCAAGATCAGCATCTGCTACATCAATAATGTTGCTGTGAAACATCTGTGGTCAAGTGTTAAATCTTACATAACATATTTACACATCACTGGCGTCAGGCAAAAAGCTTATATCTCCAGTTGTCAGACTTTCGGAATTGTTGATGTAAAATTTGGCCTTTTTTCTGAGTTCATTTAGTATATTTAATTTATTATTAACCAAAAGTACAATTTCGGAAAATGAAAGCCATCTTCCATGAAATTAAGTTTAAACATCCATAATTGGAGTTACAGTTGTGTCGCCCAACATTGCCACAGTCAAACGTCTTTCTTTAATGTCCCAGTCTATTTGTGTTGCATTATACGTTTCTGTCAACGTCCTGGTCTTCCAAAGCCTCATGATGATGCAATTATACAATAAAAGTGATACAACAGGTCCGACCACACAGCAGGTTAATGAATCGATGAACCCAACAATAGTTTCCACAGAGACACACTTCCTGTAACAGAGCGCTGACTTCCAACGTACATTTTCAAGTTGCAGTATGAAACCATCTGGCAGAGAAAGAGAAGGGGTTCCACGTAGAGGGATTAATGAGGCGGAGCATTTACCGTCTTGACGGCACAAATCATTGGCTGGATGTTGGTTAAAGACGGAAGCACATAGACTTGTTGGACCCACTGCTTCGTACGGTGATAAAACCAAGGGTTCATGCTCCATACGTTTGTCACACACTGCGTGAAGAAGAGGTTGTGGATGATGAAGGCATGACAGGACAATGAAAACATTTTGCTGCTCTTGTATCATGATCAAATAAAACTCATGCAGTTAAAAGAAATATGTACTTTGTTTCAGTCTGACCCTTTTAAGAGATAAAACAAACTGGAACCCAAATGCCTTCATTACCAATATAATTGTGTTTAAAAATGTGTTAGTTTGTAAATGAAAAAAGGAGATATTACATGATTCTAAAAGTTCATCCCTTGTTTTAATTAACCTCTGAAAGTGAGGAAAGTAAACAAACAGGCCAGTTTGGTCTGTCTGGGCCTTTAAGATCCATGTGTTCAACTGGTCTTGCCTAAATACAGTTACAAGAAACTGTGCTTTGTAGCTAAAATCAGTCCAAGACTGAAGCTTACATTAAAATGGACAGGACCTCGCACAATAAAAGCAAAAGGAGCACTGCTGAGAAAAAAGAGCACTCGAGGGAAGCTACTCCAAGAAGTGGAAAAACAAATCCCTCTTACGACCAAGTATCAGCGTAAAGATCTGCAAACTAAAGGCAGATACCCCCTCTGACAAAGGAGGCCTATCAACTGAAAGAATCTGAGTCTGAATGTAAATGTACCGAGACACCCTGCACGAATAACAACAAATCCTTCTCCCACATTCACGCTGTCTGCTCCACTTCCCAACAATAGACAGACCACATCGGCTGAGCTCTCTCTCCACAGGCCACTATGCTCATGTAAATGTGATGAATGTCTCTGCAATACAGCAGATGCACATAATTATTATTACCTTTAACTGTTGCACACTGTTTCTTTGTTATTTATGATTTGTTACCTACATTCTCATGGCCTTTGACTCAGCAAAAATTTACAGTAGACTCAAATATTCTGCTTGCTTTTTTTTCTGTTTAAGAAAGAACTAAGCTGAAACAAATGGATCCCCACTCAGAAGCTCCAGCAGAAGGTTTTAAAAGTAATGTTTCAAGCACACCACCTCCTCAGGCTTGTGATAAAAAAAGAAACCACCATTTCAAATACCCACGATGCACATACAAGCAAATAACTGACATTGATTATTAGGTTTTAAATGGAATAAATACCCAATTGCTTAAAAACTGCACGGCATGACTGCATTCACATAATAAAGAACATATTTTGATTTCTTGACAGAAAGTGTAAACACTGAGTATGTGTACTGAAATATTTGACACTGGTTTTAATCTGTCCTTTGTACTGAAATATAAAAAAACTACTTAGACATCTGTGTGGAGATTTAATGGGTTATGTGGTGAATCTATTTCAAAGCATGGAGCCACATCTGGGCCCTTACAAGAAATACAACAGTGTTTTTTTATTACCTTCGGCTGCAAAGCTCTGTCCTTCTCATAATCCTTGATCTACAATCATCGACTTCGGCCTGAAATGAAAGATTAAAAAACTTTTAAAAAGTTGGAGGGATGACACCTTACCAATAACTAATGAAGTGAAATGTCCGATGTGAAAATATGATTTTAAAATCCAGGTTGGGTCAGTACCTCTCTGACTTTTTAATTGGCTCCTGTGGGACTGACTGCTGCTGCTCCTGCTGTCTGTGCTCCTGCTCCATCCTACACACAAACACAAACACACACACACACACACACACACACACACACACACACAGTTATTGTAGGCATTTTGGATGATGCCCAGTTACTGTAGAATTTAAAGGCAGAGCATTAAAATTCAGCTTTAGTGCTTAAAGACAGTTCATTATGTGTGATTCTGTACGAGCAATATATATGTATGAGTGAATAATCTTATCAACTGTATTTTACCTTTCCCTCCGTGCTTTAATCCTCTCCTCGTCAAATCTGAAAATGAGAAACACTGTTATATTCTCCAGTAAATCCAAGTTCTTTTAAAGGACTACAGCACTAATCTCGTTTTACTTTCATTCAGAGACATTAGGTGTCACATTAGACTTGTTCTCCGCCAGATTTACAGGAATAATGATTTCCAGGAGTAACTGCTGCCTGCAGGCTGGGATCAGTGTGCTACAGCTCGTTTTCTCCATCTAGTGTTCAGAGATACTTACTGCACCACACACTCAGGAACATGGACGTGCTCCATGGGGACGATCTCTGCCAGCTCATCCAGGCTGTGGACGTACTGGATCTTATTCATGAACTTCACACTGCAGAGGACAACAGCAACACAACCAAAGTTACAGTCACTGCATCACTGATGTCACAGTAACAAAATGATTAGAAGCATGGTTCAGTCCTCATCAGCTGACTGTGATCACTACTTCAAAAAGCATTTTAACTTGTGCACCAACTTTTGTAGATTCCTCAGTCTGAAACATAATTGTTCAGCTGTTGGTGTGTGTGTGTGTGTTTACCTGATAAAAGGCCTTGATATAGCCAGGACGGTGCGTATGAACCAGGTGGGATGAGCGATTACCAAAGACTTCAGGTTTTTCCTCAGTCTGCCACAAAGCAAATAACAAGTCGATTCAGTTCTGTTATTGTTTGCAAAAAATATAAAAACTATTAAATTGATAACTAAGAGGAAGTCATCTCTAAACAGAGTCAAGCTGCAAATTTAGCCTCTGACTCATCCTCATTACTGACTGACAGCAAGTGACAACTTCTATTAACCGTCCCTTTGTATCTGTCACTATCAATGTCATGCATTTCTGTATGCTAATGGTGAAGAGCGCTCAGCAGATAAATATAGCACAGAGGGCCTAATTCATAATTCAGTTCAGGAAAGTAAGTTTTAAAAGGCTGCATGCGAAATTCAAAACTTAGGAGTTGTCTGGAGATGGTCCAAAACATGGAGGTGGCTGAGCCAGCTGCTGGCAACAAATAGTGCTAACTCCATGAACCACTAAACAACAGCAACAGTGTTAACCAGGGAGGAACCAAAGGGTGAGTGCTACGCTTCCACACCAACACCATCCCAGTTTCAGCAGTAATTGCTGTATGAACGCAGTGCAAAGTGAGCCAGTGGAATACACACATGCACGCACGGCCAAACTGGCTACAACAACAAACCACAGAGAAGCTCAGATTACAACACACACAGAAGGAGTATGACTTAATTCTCTGCTTAGGATGCCATCACTCCACTATTTCTTTACATAGGAAATAGTGCTTTGCCTCTATATTAATGCTCTGAATGTTGCACAAAGAACCTTTAATATTAATCACAATCATAGTCAATATGTTGGAGTAGTTTCTCATAGTTTCCCACCTTCTGTCAATCATTTGGTAACATTTCTTCAGCCAGCTGATCCCAGGCATCTTACTCCGAGGAGTGGCTCCATTCATGTAGATGATCAGGTAATCTTCAGCCACGAGCATCTCCAGGCTGCTCACTACGTACCTGGAGGAGTAAGACAGCATCATGGGCAGACATCATTTGATAGAGCCATGTTACTTTCCTACCAGATATGATAATAATGGTTATTCTAACTTAGGGCTCGGTGCTCGGTTTGTATATTCAGTAATTCATTCATGCACATTATCAAAACCTGAACATGAAAACTAAAAGTCACTCACAGGAAGAGGTTCTCCATGATGTAGTGGTAGTCTGGACAGCTGCTGTCAGGCAGGTAACACGCAGAGAAAACAATGATGGCATTGAGGCCCTCGCCATAATAACCTGATGGGAGAGAGATTCAGTTAATGGACTGTAACATCAGCTTAGTAGGTATGCTGATTCTTTAACATGAATGCTGGTCTTCTCAGGCGTTTGCCCCTTTTAATATAATGTTTTTAAGGCTGTAATTTTGGTATAATACTGGCAACCATCTTCCAAAGTGATTTGATTGATCTCCCTCCTGTCACTGACCTCCGTGTGTGATGACCCGGAGGTAGGGTCTGATGACCTGCATGTCAATACGATGCTCCTGTTCTCCAATGATCACAGTCCTCCAGAGGCGTCCATTGTTAGCATTCCCCTCCCCATCCACATCTCCTGAACCGTCAGCTGGACCTGCTTTGGCTGAGGCCACTGGTGTGTCATCTGGATGGACACAGAGCAGAGTTTGTTCTTAATAAATATGTACTGAAATATGTACTACGCTGGACAGGTTCCAGTAAAACTTATTGTCTATATATTGTGTGTGAGCTCCTTTCAAATGAGGTTTTGGTTCAGCATTTGAATTAGGATTACATTTAGATTTGGCAAAACTACAATTACGTTTTGTGTTACTGTCTGAGAATAAAGACTGACATTTATTCAGGATTAAGACTCAGGTTTGTGGTTAGTTATTATTATTAGTTTTAAGTTAGATATTCCAACTTCAGTCAGTTGTAGATACACTTATTAGGACTATTTTCAGATTGTAAGACCAAAGTGGGTGTTGACTCGGAGAGGGTTAAAATATATAAACATAGTAAGAAAAAAAAGTATGTACAGTACTGTTAAAGTTGGTTAAAAGTGCTTTATATTTAAAAAAAAAAAAAAGATTAAAACAATTCTGTACGCCAGTTAAATAAAATCATGCAAATAAAAGTACTGAAAATTAAATTGAAAATACTAACTAATACTAAAATACTAAAAAAGAGCAAAGTAAACAAATAAAAACATAAAATATTAGGACTGAAAAAAAGTTACTGTATCTGCAAGCTTCAGTAGCCTATGTAAAAACTGATAGATATCATAAAAGATATTCCATCAATATTCATATGAACAATTACTGCATTTAAACTGAGCATAAATCAGCATAATCTTACTGCTAGTTTTTAAAGGTGAGTGTTATGGTTTAGCACAGGTATAATAAAGGAGTTATAACAGTCAACAGTCGTGTGTTTTTAACCACTTACCCTCCCACTCCAGCTCGTTGCCATTGGTGATGAACTCCAGTGAGTCTGTCTCATCAGGCGTATCGATGTCATCAACGTTGATGTCCAGGTCATCTGGTGTATCCAGGAAGTCATCTGACAGCAAAGAGCCCTCGCTTTGGTCCAGGGAAAGGTTCATCTCTGGGGCAACCAGTGTGCGCCGTTTGCGGTGGGTGGAGGACATTCCGCTGCCACCTCCTCCTCCAGGTGGGCTCACATTCAGGGAGTTAGGAGGAGCTGCAGCAAGACAGATCAGAAAAGTTAACTGGTGTCAGAAAGCAGGGTTATTATGGTTGACCAGTCAGTGACCCTCCACTCCCCAGAGTTACTTACAGGCTCTGTCGTCTGTGAGACCACAAGAGGGATCCATGTCTCCGTACTCTGGTAGTGGTCTGGAGGGAAACACACATTAATGACTTTTACTGGGTCTTAACTAATTAAAAAAACAACCTAAACTTTGGCTAATAAGTAGATTTGACTTAAAGGAACAGTATGTAGTGTTACCAGCTCACCCTTTTCCCCCTTTAAGGGGCGGTGGCCTTGTGGGTAACCTGTGAGGGTGTGACGTGTGCTTCATGGTGTGTGTGTGTGTGTATAAAGGGAAGCAGCTCTCTCAAGGTGTCATGGTGAAGACAGCAGGTGGCAAAGAGTGTTGATAATCAGCAGAATTAAGTCTATAAGCTTAGGGCTACTGTTAAACCTAATGAGAAGGCCACGTTTATGGTATCCTTCCTTCTGCAGGGTGGTCCGGACGGCTGGAAGCTAGTTACCAGCTAATAATGAGCAAAGCTAATTTAACGTTAATAAGCCAGTGTGTTCCCAACTATGGTTTGGAGCCAGTAAACCGTCACAAAGAGAGAGTAGGATTTTAGTGGCGTCTAGAGGTGGAGATTGCAGATTACACTCAGCTAAAACTTCTCCCATGTGCCAAGCATGAACTTCCTGTTGGGATTCTGTCAATGTTCATTGTTCAGGAGGTTTTTAGCAGGAGCCGAATTATCCACAGAGGTCTCTTCCTCTCCAAAACGAATGGACTAGGTGATTTAAAACACTGAATAAAGCAGTTTCACTTACAAATCAGTGTTTCTCCGATGCTGCTCTGCTCATCACAGACAGGCCGCCAGCCCAGCATCTGCTAATGCGTGCTCACTGATAACTCAAGATCCAGACATTCAGAGGGTTTTCTCTAGGAGCCGAATTATTCACAGAGGTCTCGTTCTCTTCAAAAATAATCAGAGGTGGGTAGTAACTAGTTACATTTACTCAGTTACATTTACTTGAGTAACTTTTTGGATAAATTGTACTTTTCAGAGTAGTTTTAATGCAAAATACTTTTTACTTTTACTTGAGTTATATTGTTTTAAAGCAACAATGCTCTTACTTGAGTACAATATTTGGCTACTCTACCCACCTCTGAGTACATATATATACAGTACAGGCCAAAAGTTTGGACACACCTTCTCATTCAATGCATTTTCTTTATTTTCATGACTATTTACATTGTAGATTCTCACTGAAGGCATCAAAACTATGAATGAACACATGTGGAGTTATGTACTTAACAAAAAAAGGTGAAATAACTGAAAACATGTTTTATATTCTAGTTTCTGCAAAATAGCCACCCTTTGCTCTGATTACTGCTTTGCACACTCTTGGCATTCTCTCGATGAGCTTCAAGAGGTAGTCACCTGAAATGGTTTTCCAACAGTCTTGAAGGAGTTCCCAGAGGTGTTTAGCACTTGTTGGCCCCTTTGCCTTCACTCTGCGGTCCAGCTCACCCCAAACCATCTCGATTGGGTTCAGGTCCGGTGACTGTGGAGGCCAGGTCATCTGCTGCAGCACTCCATCACTCTCCTTCTTGGTCAAATAGCCCTTACACAGCCTGGAGGTGTGTTTGGGGTCATTGTCCTGTTGAAAAATAAATGATCGTCCAACTAAACACAAACCGGATGGGATGGCATGTCGCTGCAGGATGCTGTGGTAGCCATGCTGGTTCAGTGTGCCTTCAATTTTGAATAAATCCCCAACAGTGTCACCAGCAAAACACCCCCACACCATCACACCTCCTCCTCCATGCTTCACAGTGGGAACCAGGCATGTGGAATCCATCCGTTCACCTTTTCTGCGTCTCACAAAGACACGGCGGTTGGAACCAAAGATCTCAAATTTGGACTCATCAGACCAAAGCACAGATTTCCACTGGTCTAATGTCCATTCCTTGTGTTTCTTGGCCCAAACAAATCTCTTCTGCTTGTTGCCTCTCCTTAGCAGTGGTTTCCTAGCAGCTATTTGACCATGAAGGCCTGATTGGCGCAGTCTCCTCTTAACAGTTGTTCTAGAGATGGGTCTGCTGCTAGAACTCTGTGTGGCATTCATCTGGTCTCTGATCTGAGCTGCTGTTAACTTGCCATTTCTGAGGCTGGTGACTCGGATGAACTTATCCTCAGAAGCAGAGGTGACTCTTGGTCTTCCTTTCCTGGGTCGGTCCTCATGTGTGCCAGTTTCGTTGTAGCGCTTGATGGTTTTTGCGACTCCACTTGGGGACACATTTAAAGTTTTTGCAATTTTCTGGACTGACTGACCTTCATTTCTTAAAGTAATGATGGCCACTCGTTTTTCTTTAGTTAGCTGATTGGTTCTTGCCATAATATGAATTTTAACAGTTGTCCAATAGGGCTGTCGGCTGTGTATTAACCTGACTTCTGCACAACACAACTGATGGTCACAACCCCATTGATAAAGCAAGAAATTCCACTAATTAACCCTGATAAGGCACACCTGTGAAGTGGAAACCATTTCAGGTGACTACCTCTTGAAGCTCATGGAGAGAATGCCAAGAGTGTGCAAAGCAGTAATCAGAGCAAAGGGTGGCTATTTTGAAGAAACTAGAATATAAAACATGTTTTCAGTTATTTCACCTTTTTTTGTTAAGTACATAACTCCACATGTGTTCATTCATAGTTTTGATGCCTTCAGTGAGAATCTACAATGTAAATAGTCATGAAAATAAAGAAAACGCATTGAATGAGAAGGTGTGTCCAAACTTTTGGCCTGTACTGTATATATATATATATATATATACTGTATGTATAAGAATATATTTGTGTTTCTTGTGCCTTGATTTAGGTTATGTTTGTAAAGATTTAATTTATTTTTGTTTTAGTTAAAGGGGTATCGTTTAAAATACATGAATTTGCAGATTATTATTTTTGATTGATTGATTACGTTCATGTTCTTATTTTACAAATAAATCAGACGTTACTCAATAGTTACTCAGTACTTGAGTAGTTTTTTCACCAAATACTCTTTTACTCTTATTTAAGTAATTATTTGGATGACTACTTTTTACTTTTACTTGAGTAATATTGTTCTAAAGTATCAGTACTCTTACTTGAGTACAATATTTGGCTACACTACCCACCTCTGAAAATAATGGACCCAGTGATTTAAACCAATAAAATGACTGAATAAAGCACATTCACATAGAAAAATAATTGTTTTTCTGATGCGGTTCATTATGGAGGGGCTGCTACACAAAAATGCAAATGGCCTTTTATAGAGCCAGTGTTTGATTTGCCCCTTCTGGGCTACTGCAGAAACATGGCAGTGCAACATGGCAGACTCCATGGACAACAAACCGCTTCTTATGTAGATATTTAACAGCTCATTCTCAGGTGATGATACAACAAAGAAAACATAAATATTATATCGTATTCAGTTTTTGCCAACATATCCCCCTACATCCTACACACCTGACCTTTAACCTTGGTTGCGTTTCTGCTGTCTGTCCTAGTAGTCTCTAACTATGGCCTCACAATTACATGTAACACTGTGATTAGGATGGTGTTCAATGGACCAGTAGAGGCGTGTGTGTTGTCACTGATCTGGCTAAGCACTAAAAAGAGGAGAAAGCAGAAGAGGGTAGAGATGGTAATTAACTTCTCTCTGGGGAGAGATGAAGATTACAGGGCTGCCAGGCAGGGCGTGAGAGGGGAAGAGAAAGGGAGGTGGAAGAAATAGAGGAGAAATAAGGAGAAATAAAAGATAGAGAATGAGTGAAAGAGAGAGAAGAGATTCAGCTCTCTGTCCCTTTTAGCCACTTGTTATTTACTGTTGAAACCTTGTGCAGAAGGAGGAGCGAACAGGAGGTCAAAATCCTGCTCTGCATATGTTTGTGCAGCATGTGCCCATCTGTGTGTTTATTTGCAAGTAGGCAAAACAATGCGCATTGGGACAGAAGTGTTTTTTGCATGTTAGCAACAACACCCAGTGCAACCAGAGACCTGGAATCAGGGTTGTACAACTACAGGATTCAGACACAAGAGATACAGAGAGCTACAGCGCAGTGCCGTTCAGCAGAGAGGAGTTTTAGCTGCATTCCTGTGAAAGCCAACTGCCTCATCCTCCCATCTTGACGAGGAAAGTGTGTGCTCCTCCTGAGCCAACAATACTGGCTTTAGCCCAGAGAAACATGCACTGATGAATGATCCGACCCTCTTCCCCTGGGGACCCCTGCGGTGATTACTAGTCTAACGCTTCCTTTGTCAGAAATGGAGCCAAATCTATACACAGATTTTGTCTTTTAACAGAAGCAAGATAATCTCCTTTGTTCATGTTCATGGCTGCATTGTCATTCAGCTATAAACAGCAATATCAGGAGGAATCGATGATGCTTACCTTCTGGAAACAGCACAGGGCTGCTGTTGTCAAATCCAATTCAAATGAGCTTTATAACCTCACACACCTTAATGTTTGGTTTGCTTACTCATTCCCTGTCTTCTCAGCTGAAGCAGAGCATCTCTAAGAGGCTGCCCTGATAATCCACTTGCTGCTGGCTGCTCCTGCGTCTGTGTCTGTCTCTAACCAAAACCTGCCACCATTTTCCTGGCGATGCTGTGTTGTTGATCGGTGACTGCTGTTGCGTCACATGACGTAGCCTAAGACCATTTACAGACAGAGCTGCACCTGCTCCCTGGCTTCCTGCCTCCCAATCGGGCAGAGGAAGAGGGGGAGGAGGGAGGAGGATGGAGACAGAAGGAGGGAGCGCAGCACTGACTGTTCTGCCCTGCTCTTTTTCTGCCCATCAAGCTCTCCATCTCAGACTCTGAACACTTACATCCCCCAGATTTTTAAAGCTTTCTGTTGCCATCCTTCATTTATCGTTCTCTCTGTTTCTTTTTCTTACTGTGAACAGAAATTAAATGTCAATCTGAGCTCAATCCCTAATATAATAATCAATAAAACCTTCAGTTACAGTAGCAAAATATTTAGCTCTACTGTTGCTCAGACAGTAGAACATAAAAAGATAAGGCTATAATTACAATGAGTATGTTTTTATAAGATTAAAAAGTGTCAGTATTACAAAAATGACTACTATAAACAACACGGCTTCTAAATCCACCCAGCATTGGAAGCAATATGGTGCAGATGGCGATTAATCCATAATTTACTGCACAATTAATTCTAAAAAAATTAGCCATTCAGTCATAAATTAAAATATAATTCATATTCATCAGCACACACAAACACAAGAGTATGCCCTATAGCTACAGGCTCACACACAGCTCTAAGACACTGTGAGGTGACAGTGCTAACCATGCCACCGTGCAGCCCTAATTTAAGACATGAACTTTAAAAAGAAAGCTGTATTCATAGAGCCATATGTATTAGAAAATTATGAACAACCAAAGAGCTGATAGAACAATGACAAAGAAGCCTTATTAAGTTTGTATAATACATTCATTCATTCATTTTTTCCGTAATTGCTTGTCCTGATACAGGGTCATGGATATGCTGGAGCCTATCCCAGCTGTCATTGGGCGAGAGGATGGTACACCCAGAACAGGTCGCCAGACTATCACAGGGCTGGCACAAAGATTTACAATTTAAAGTAACCAATTAACCTAACATACATGTCTTTTGGTTGTGGGAGGAAGCTGGAGCACCTGGAGAGGACATGTAAACTCTGCAGAGAGGGACCCGGCAGGCTGGTGGATTCGAACCTCAAACCCTCTTGATGTGAGGCAACAGTACTAATCACTGCACCACTGTGCCACCCAGTATGAAAGACTGTTTAAAATATATCACTTAGTCCGAGCTTGTCAGTTTACTCAATGATAGAAAAGGCGTCCCTTAAGGAAGAAGGTTGGGGATCACTGCTCTAAAAATGCCATAATGACAGCTTTTTGCTGAGCTGTCTCATAGTTATCCACGTCCAGCATCAAACAGTTGTCTATATCTGACTTCAAAAGGACATTTCATTGATGATAAGCAGTAGAAAGTAAAAGGATCCCACCTGGGGAAGTCTTCATCCTGCCACTCGTCTTTCACTTCCAAGTTCTCCATTCGTAGAGTTGCCTCTGTGGTGCCCATCCCTCAGAGAGGAGAGCCGGGGCCTGGGAGTGTGAAGAGAAGCATTTATCTATGAACCCCATTTACAGTAACAAAGGAAAGCTGTCACATCAAATGAGTGTACTAACTAGACAGTCAGCGTCATGGCTGCACTGCAGGAACACGTGTCTGACTTAGATGACAAAGAGAGAAGTCGGCATTGTTGGAGGATTTTACCCATATGATTTTTCATCACAATTTGGGGGCTGTAACCACTCTTCAGTCACATGGTTTTTATCCCTCTGCCCAGAGGAGCACATGTGAGAGGCATGTGACTGAGTCGGGCAGAGCCCAGTTTCTGAGCTCGGCTCTCCTCAATGTCAAATATCACGAACAAATTTCCTCCTGGGTGGAATTTAAGGGGCCAATGAGGAGGACGACATGCACCCCTAATCCTCCCTCGCTGCTCCCTAATCCTACTGCACATATGTGGCTGCTGCCCATTTGATCTCTGCTCACACTCAGGCTTCACGTCACCAATAGAACTTCTCTTCTGATCTAATATTCATTCATTTGTACTCAAGAGTTTGAAGACAGTTCCCATACTGATACGATACAGTGATTACACACTGACTGCATAATCAATAGTGGCATTAAGGTGCACTCCACTCTGATAAACTACAGGATTTAAAGCTGATATCCAGGTGGATTATCACAACACAATAGTGATAGATTAAAGGTGACGTAGGCAGTTTGAGTTTGGCCTTCCTGGGCAAAAATCGCAAAATAAACCTTGATCGTATTCTAATTTAAGTGATCTGAGAAAACACTAGACTTCTGCACCTCAGCTTGGCCAACACATTCTCAGTCCGACCGCGTCACATATTGACATTTGGTCATGGACTTTCCACGTCAACATATGACATGCAAGGTACCCTGGGTGCGTTGGCTGTTGCCGCTCTTGGATGCCATGTCAAGGTTTGCCTGTTACATGCATTATCTGTTTTCAAAATACACTTCCATTTTCACAGGAATTGTCCTGGTTACATACAGTAACCAGTACAACACCGTGAATTGACGTTTTTTTTCTTCAGCAACAAACATGGTTTGGGTTTAGGAAAAAAGAACAGGGTTTGGCTTTACAATCTTACGAGAAGCCAACACCGGCCTCCCAGGTGAAAGACTTTGGCTGCCTTGATGTTGTTGTTGTCCCGCTGCATTTCCCCCTGACAGGTGCTGTTTAACAATAATGGCGATCTGTAGCGTATCATGCCGACGTGAAAGGATGGCTTTTTTTGTTGGTGTCAAATGCTGGAGGTCACCGACCACGTGCTGGATTTCGATGACTTTGGAGTGATACTGGGTTGACTTAGCTCTGTTTCCAGGGTTTATAAAATCTAGCCCGTGACGGGATACTCTGGCCAATCACAGGCCAAGTTTAAAGAGAGCACATGTCAATCAAGTCAATCACTACTCATGAACTGCAGTCACACTGTCAGACTAGGCAGTGCTGATCAAACATGAATCAAGATTTTGTCACTGCATTGCCTGTTTCTCGCCTCATGTTTTCAGAAACATATATCAGTGTACTGTTTAGCCAACCTTGCCTCCTAGAAACTATGTTTGTTACTAAACTGCTCTTTTAATAACATTGCTGTAGCAACGTAACTGCTGCCTGGAGACAACGCTTGGAGACGTTTCTTTCAGGTAACAAAACACTACACTCATTTACCATGTAAGTGCTGCAAGAAGACAGTTGAGGAGGATAATGGGCGTATACAGTCCAGGACTTTGACACCAGAACCTTGGATTTGCATCAAGACTGTTGTAGGTTTAGGCAACAAATGCACTTTGGTTAAAGGAAGATTGTGATTTTGTTTAAATGTTAATAAAAAATGTAATAAAAAATTCATAATGCTGTAGTCACATGAGTGGATACTGATTGCTTATTTTGGGGGAAAACAACTGAACTACATTTTCAGTGAACATTTTGGTGATAGGTTCAGTGTCAACATTTTTGCGACTTGCCATATACGTTAGTTAGCAACATCTCCTCATAATGTTAATAGAAAATATAACTTCCTCTTCATTACATTTCCCTCAAAATGTATTGGCTATTTTATATTAGTTATATAGTTATTAGTTAGTTATTTAGTTTGTGACCTTGCCACCATGTCAGCAATGCCCACCAGTTGGGGAAAACATTCTCATTTTAAACAGAATTTCATATTTGATCAGCACTGCCCAGTTTATCAGTTTGACCACAGTCCACAAGCAGTGTATGACATGATTGACAGCTGCGTTAGAGATGCTTCTGCTCTGATTTCTTGTTTTTGAGAATTCCTGCAAATGCAAAAATGCAAATGCAACACCAGGAGGAGGCAGAGGAACATGATTTTTTCACAGGTTTACTGCCTCATGTTCTACTGTCTGGATGTAGCGACAGTAAAATAAAAACTTTTGGTCATATTTGCTAAAAAAAAGTGACCTACTGTAGCTTTAAATACAGAAGCACAGGTCTGTTTTAGCTGGTGAACGCATGAGAGGAGCACTGTGGATATTTAATTGGATATAGAGTCCTGTTCTCTTTGTAGTTCTCCACTCAAGTATAAAATCCACAGTGTCTGAGCAGGTTCTGCTGAGTGACAGAGGATCCCCAGGTTTGTGCTGGAGGTGATACTTAGAAACAGACACTCTGAGGAGAGGCACAATGTAAGAGCTTTTTCAGACTACAGCGCAACAAAAATACTGTTGTGGTTATCCGGACACTCTTGTCAGCATATTGTTGATCACAATGAGAAATAATGCAGCATAGATTCCTGTGATATAATAACTAGAACGAGTGGAGTGGTTTTGGTGATTTTGGCAGCGACACTTGTGACTAAACTGGAAAAAAGCCAAATCTAACATAGAGGAAATTATTCATTTCTGCAGGGCTGACATTGCACAGAAGGAGCAAAGCAAAGATAAATGATTTTACTAAACATCACACACCTGTTTGTAGCAGGTCAGAGTCTCATACACTTCAATGGGACAACACCCCGAAGAAGAAAGCGGTAGTGTGTGGTTGGGAGAGCAGAAACCAGAACAAATCATTTATCATCACTGACAAATAATGATGTTCTTTCTTACATTGGCAGGCTAGAAAAAATCATGTAATAGTAAGTGAAATTATTCCAACAATCATTTCAGATTTCAACAAAATGCTGTGTGGAGAAATTGACCTTTAGCTAAGGATGTAACCCGGTATATGTGCAAGTAAAACACCATGTTCCTGCATACTGTGCTGCCCACGTTCCCTCATCCTGCCTGAAAATGTCAATGTCGGAGAAAAAAATCTGCAAAATGAATTGCCACCAATGTGCAGCACATTACACTCACAGAGTAAAATGGCCTCGCAGTCTTTCTGGGTCATCCCAAATGTAACAGCCAAAAGGAAATCCATCTAAATGGATTTCATGTGTTTATGCACAATCCAATGTGCATGCAGTCAGTATAAGGCGGCTGCAGGGTGCAGCGAGCAGAACAGAGATGCAAGGACATTAATTCAGTCACTATACTCACATGAGCGGTGTGAGATCTCCTCTAAACCTCTCGCTCGTCTGTGCGTCCTCCCTCCTCCTCAGCAGCAGACTCAAAGATTCTAGAGGAGAAAGTCCTGATCCTCCACACCAACAGAGAAGCAGAGGTCAGGCTGAAATTTCTCCTCTCACGCTCCCTGTCTTTCACTCATTCACATGCACACACACACACACTGATGCACAGACACAGCCATACAGTGTCCTCGATGTCAGCCGCTAGCCAGCAGCAGGTGTCTGAGGACAGGGGGCACCTCTGTGCTGGACTCCCCCTCTTCTCCTCCGCCTCTGGCCACCTTTGTTGGGGAAAGACTGGCCGTGAAGAGCGAGCCGACAGCCTGCCTCTCAGCTCATACGTCCACACCACCAAGACACAAAATTCCTTTAATCAGAATGCATCTGCTCTGGCATCATGATCTCCCTCTTTTCTCTGCTTGTTAACTCCAAATACCTTTGGAGGATCTTTTTTCCACCTCCAAATATTAATTCACACCCTTCTTTGGGTTTCCCCCTGTATGAGCACCATACAGAAGAAATGAGCTCCAGTCTCTGTGTCCCTTTACTCCATTTGATAATCCTACTGTTGTGTTCAGTGGTCCTCTGTGTGGCTGCTGTTCCCTGGCAACAGCATCTCTCTCTCCATCCATAGCTTCTCCCCTCCTTATCTGTATCCTCGCCCCACTCTGTATACCCCAACTCTCCCCTCATATTAATTATTCAGTCCCTTACTTCACTTGCACCCAGCCAATCATATCACCCATGCTCAGTTTTATGCTGGCTGCATGTTCATATAACAAGCTTCCTTCTTTAAGTGTGTGCCTCAGGTGGTGATGCTAATAAACTCTCAGTAGTGATTATATATAGGTTAATGGTTTTATCTAACATTTTCCCCCCTCTTTAGATTTATAGTATGATTGACCTCAATTCTGTGGCGCTCCTGCAGTGATGCCTTCAAAACCCAAGGTCGTTATTATCTTTTTAAGGTGGAAGAATATGATTTCCAGGCGTTTTAATGAGAATCTGAATATATTATTAAGATTTGTTTGTCTACAAACTCAGTGCCTGGTGTTTGAGTTTATAATAGATTGTGTCTTTATCATCGGTGCAGGCATGACTGACAAGTACACGCGACATTCAGCGGACAGAGCAGGAGAAGCTACATGCAAATCAAGAGGAGTCACTTCAATGTACTTCCGTCTTCGTGGAAACCGCGTTTCTTTAGAAAAGCGATTCTCAGAATGGGGTCCGGGGACCCAGAAGGGTCAGTGACACTCTGCCAGGAGGTCATTACTTTTAATTATCATCATACAAAATCGTCTTTTTCCACAAAAGGCTTCATTGTTCAATACATTATATTTTGAATCTAAAATAGTTTGCAGTTAATGTTCTTGTCTAAGAAGTTTATATTAGCGAAGCAATCAGAATCCAGGTTTTATTCAGTTTATGCACTAAAAGTGAAACACCTTACTTAAATTCACACTTCTCTTGATAGGCTTGTGTGTGTGCTGTAACATGCATTTCAAATTAGCCATTTTCTTTTGATCTGCCTTTGATATTTTGTTTAGGTGCAGTGCTCCATGTGTGGTGAGAATGGGGCAGACATTTTAATACATGTCTGCAGGAGTATAGAAGTATAAAAATAGGTTATGTCAAATTATTTCAAGGGACACAGGCCCACCTGAGGGGTTTCTATGTACAAAACCTATTCTGTTTTGAAAGGGTAGCTCGGCTGAAAAAAAAAAGATTGATAATCTCTGTTTTAGACAGTAGTAGAGAATACATATAATTGACTAAATGTTTTTTGGTGTCCATTTAGTTTTACATATGAATTTTCATCCCAGAAGGATTGATATACCTTAACAAAGAGAGATCAGCCTCTCTTTTTTTCAGTTCTTTGTCCCTTTTCATTGCAATACACCCAAATTTCCTGTAAATCTTAATGTCTCTCTGTCACAAGCGCAAGCAAAAGGCGTGCATGCATGACACAGTTTTGTGGAATACCAATAGCAAACTTTGAAAATCACTTTATGCTGAACATTTTACGGTAAATTAACTGAAATGATACCTTTACAAGACATTACATTATTATAGTTAATATTCACAGACGTACAATGTGTAGTTGTTATTTACCTATTACACTTATTTAATGTATACTATTTTTACATGTATATTATAGGGATGTGATTTTTAACTGTCAGCACATTGCAGGAGTAGCACTCCTAATTTTGTTGTGTGTTTTTAGTGACAAAACGACCATACAAGGTATTCTGATTTTTTAACTTTATTTACCATTACTTCAAATATTGTCAGGTATAAGACAAGAACACAACAATATAGGAGAGCTGATAGCATCAATTGCAATGAGATAAATGACATTCTACAAAAGCTAAGAACTGAACGATCATACGTACATACAAATTTGGAAATCCTACAAATAAATAGAATAAGAATGGGCATTAGAAAAAAACAAAAAAATAACATAGGCCTAATTCATTTCACATCAGGGTAGTTTCATTAAATATGTTTTTGTAATACCCTAAAACCCTGTTACTTTTTTGGTGTGTCAGCTCAAGAGAGTTCAATACTGAGTTAAATTCAATCAAGAAAAGATGTATAGATGGTTGTGACCCTTAAATTCCTGTTTATGAATAAATATTTTCCCAAACTGAATAATGAAATAATCAAAATGGTTCAGAGATGTGTTACTCATATCATAATACTAACAGATTACATCTTTAAAGGTAAAGTGACATTGGTGGTACTGAAAACATGAGAACAGACCAATATTTCATTGTTTTTCTACTCTGAAACAATAATTGCATTAATAACAGACACATATATTTGACACATTTTTAAAACAGACTGTGTGAGTCAGATATGTTTTTGTCTGACGCAGTTCCGGCGTAGCAGAGCGGAGCTCCCATTGGCTGCAGTCGAGGGGGGTGAACTATCTTGACTCTCAGTATCAGGGTCTGCTGTCTGCCAGTACAGTACTGTACTGGAGATGCCAAGATGGCTGCAAGCAATTATTTCGGCTTCACACATGGTGCCGGTCCGCAATACAGGTAATTCAAGTGATGCAGGTTGGTGTCAGCATGTCTTTTGAGTCATATTTATCAGCCGTTGGTGTGTAACGGTCGGCGGGGTGATTTCACTGCGTGGCGGTGCTAGCTTGACCCGCTAATTTCGGTTAGCTAGCGTTAGCTAGCTGAGTTCGCAGGCCAGCTCTTGCCGACACGCTGCTTGACTTTAGGTGAACCCCGGTACGGTCATCGTCGGCTGCTAATATTTTAACATTTAACCACTCAGAAGACTTAAATGTGAAACAAAAAGGCAGATATTGTAAGTGTCACGTCGCAGGTTTAGTTAGTGGAGCCGGCTGCAGCTGTGACGGGTGATAAATTAGGATTAAGAGGGCTAACCCTGATCGAGCTGTAACGTTACTGAAGGTCCCGTGTCTCACAAACACTGCACTTATTATAATGTAGGTGCTGTGTTTAATAAATGCCTCCTGTTACTTATTAACATTTAAATGATACTTATATTTAAGCAGTAAATGAACACCGGTCAACAGTTAAACTCCATCAGTGCAGATTGCTGTTATACAAGTTTGTGTGGCAGGTAAATCCTCTAGCCTGTCAGATTGACAGGCAATTAGATGTAATTAGCATATAATTTAATTACCATTCACTGCGGTTAGTGAACTATGAAGGAACTCTGTTTTGTTTCTCTTGAGGAGAATCCAAGCCAACAAACCTGACAAACAGGAGAGGACTGTTTCTCTGCACCACAGAGTGCTGATGTATTCATGTTCTCTGGCCTTAGTTTGTTAACCAAAGTCTGCTCCTCTCCTGGTTTTAATTCATTTTTAACTTGTAAACCTGTTTCTTGATTTAACATAAACTCCTACAGCCTCAAACATGTCACTGTGTTGGATCTGCGGTAAGGTGTTAGTCCTCCTGAGATGCACAGTCAGTACAGGGTTACATTATGTAGTTAGGTGTGGGTGATGTGGATGAAACCCTCTGACACAACATGTAATGTAATATTGCAAAATCAATTTATATTGCAGTGTAGTATACTTTCTGGAAAAATCAATGGAGTATAGAGAAAAACTGCTAATCCAGCAGTCCGTTCTGAACCTAATTCTCTCTAGGTATATTTGTATACAAGTAACTGTACATGTTGTTTTCATTTTAAGTCATTTTATTCAATCCCATTTGTATAAATATTCCAGAAGTGTAAACCTGAAGGGGGATACAACTTATAGTTCATGTGCAACCTTGTGTTGTGGGAGCACAAATAAATGAACCTTGTGACCCGAATATTTTTTTAAATCAAATACTTGATAACCTTATTGCCAAAATCCTTAAAAAAACAGTATTACCATGAAGTCGTCCGCCCTAGCCACACAACTTTTTCAGACCTAATATTGATACTGATGCCTGGGCTTTGGGTATCGTCCAATACCAAGTACTGATCTGACACCAGTGTTGACTCGTTTGACTGGGATCATTCTTTTCTGTGTGACGCAAAATCAGTGTAGGAGCCAGAATATGTATTTAACCCTCATAGTTTATTATTTGATTGCAGTGGTTAGCATTGTGGCCTCACAGCAAGAGGGTTCCTGGGTTAAACCCGGGTTGGGTGGCCCTTCTGTGTGGAGTTTGCATGTTCTCCTGTGTCAGCGTGGGTTTTCTCCGGGTACTCTAGCTTACCCCCACAGTCCAAAGACATGCAATTGGTGACTCAGCATTGCTTGTAGGTGTGAATGTGAGTTTGAATGGTTGTCTGTCTCTATGTGTCAGCCCTGTGATAGTCTGGTGACCTCTCCAGGGTGTACCCTGCCTCTCACCCAATGACAGCTGGGATAGGCTCCAGCCCCCCTGCGACTCTTAACAGGATAAGTGGTATGGAAAATGAATGAATGAATGTTTATTTGTTTAGGCTGAACACGTTCTTTTGGTCATTTTCACTTCCGGTAGTAATTGGCACATGTGTGGGTGGTGTATCACATTATTTTTACCTGCTCATTCACTGGCATGGCGGCTTTTAGACAAAAGCGGAGTTGGCTCCGATATTTCCTGTTGACCATTATCACACAACGTTACAGTTACCGCAATTACATAATCTCAAGACATCGTATTCCATCTCATTTTGCTTTAGTTGTCCAGTTGTTTGTTTAATAAATCATCATAAAATGTATCGTTGGACTTCAGTATGGATTTCTTTCAATGGGTCACAGTTGCGAGCCTACTCATTGATAGTAGTCGCTACAGTCAGCCTTGACTTGTACATTGCTTTCCTAACTTTGTAAAAGAAACTCTAACAAATACACAGGTATACGTTAACTGAGTTATTTATTATTAGTAAGTAATAAATCATGCGCAAACAACTTGGCAAAAATATTCAAGTTAACAGGTGCAGACATACCAAGTAGCTGCAGAACTTGTCGGTGTAGTAAGTGTGAAATGCCTCCAAACAGCTGACATATTTGTCACACCCTCAGCTATGCAGTCATGTAATCAGACGTCAACATAGAATTTAATATAGCCGCCCCATTATTACGGATACCCAATCCAGCTGTTTGAGTGAGTATCGGCCCGATTTCATATATCAGTATAGAATCAGTGCATCCCGAGTTCTGCCC